TTAGAAGAAACGGGAGAATAAAGGAAAGAAAGAAAGAAAAAAATAAAATAAAGTTTTAAAAATAATAAATATTGAGAATAAAGGAAATTTTAAAAGTAATTTAAAAAAGAAAAAGAATAGGAAAGAAAGAAAGAAGAGAGCAACCAAACCAAAAAAAAGTCCACCAATGATAACAAGTGCTAAAAACTATACTAAAAAAAAAAAAAAAAAGATAGAACCCTAGGGCAAATGGTAAAAACAAAGCTATAGACAAAATCAAACAAAGAAACATACACAGTCACAAAAAGAGAAAAAGGAAAAAAACCCCAAAACATTGTTGCTCCCAAAGGCCACCGCCTCAATTTTGGGATGATTCGTTGTCTATTCAGGTATTCCAGAGATGCAGGGTATATCACGTTGATTGTGGAGATTTAATCCGCTGCTCCTGAGGCTTCTGGGAGAAATTTCCCTTTCTCTTCTTTGTTCGCACAGCTCCTGGGGTTCAGCTTTGGATTTGGCCCTGCCTCTGTGTGTAGGTAACCTGAGGGCGTTTGTTCCCGCTCAGACAGGACAGGGTTAAAGGAGCCGCTGATTCGGGGGTTCTGGCTCACTCAGGCTGGGGGTGGGGGAGGCAGGGGTATGGATGCGGGGCGAGCCTGCGGCGGCAGAGGCCAGTGTGACGTTGCACCAGCCCGAGGTGCTGTGTGTGCTCCCAGGGAAGTTGTCCCTGGATCATGGGACCCTGGCAGTGGCGGGCTGCACACGCTCCTTGGACGGGAGGTGTGGATAGTGACCTGTGCTCGCACACAGGCTTCTTGGTGGTGGCAGCAGCAGCCTTAGTGTCTCATGCCCGTCTCTGGGGTCCGTGCTGATAGCCGCGGCTCACGCCCGTCTCTGGATCTCATTTAGGCGGTGCTCTGAATCCCCTCTCCTCACGTACCCCGAAACAATGGTCTCTTGCCTCTTAGGCAGTTCCAGAGTTTTTCCCGGACTCCCTCCTGGCTAGCTGTGGCGCAGTAGCCCCTTCAGGCTGTGTTCACGCAGCCAACCCCAGTCCTCTCCCTGGGATCCGACCTCCGAAGCCTGAGCCTCAGCTCCCAGCCCCCGCCCGCCCTGGCGGGTGAGGAGACAAGCCTCTCGGGCTGGTGATTGCTGGTAGGCACCGATCCTCTGTGCGGGAATCTCCCGGCTTTGCCCTCCGCACCCCTGTTGCTGCGCTCTCCTCAGTGGCCCCAAAACTCCCCCAGCCCCGCCACCTCCCGTCCCCGCCAGTTTAGGGGCTTCCTAGTGTGTGGAAACTTCTCCTCCTTCACAGCTCCCTCCCACTGGTGCGGGTTCCATCCCTATTCTTTTGTCTCTGTTTATTCTTTTTTCTTTTGCCCTACCCAGGTCCGTGGGGAGTTTCTTGCCTTTTGGGAGGTCTGAGGTCTTCTGCCAGCATTCAGTAGGTGCTCTGTAGGAGTTGTTGCACATGTATATGTATTTCTGATGTATTTGTGGGGAGGAAGGTGATCTCCACGTCTTACTCTTCTGCCATCTTGAAGGTCTCCTTTTCTTTAGACTTTGGTTTCATTAAAGTTCATTTTAAATCTTACATATCATATATGCTAATGAAATAAATACATAAAATAATTTTCATTACTTTTATATGTTCAATGATTAAATCACAATAAAAAGAGCTGTTTGTCATTATTGAGTTCCTAGTCCCTTGATGTACACATTTAATTTCAGTTAAAGAACCAGGCTACTTGTACCCCGAGCCTTGCCTATAGATTCTTCAAACTAGTATCTTTGACTTAATTTGAATTAAAGAGTTGATTCTCAGGAGTCAAAAAAACAGTTTTCAAAGAAACTCACTGAGTGGAATAGTTCAAACTATATCAAGACAGTTTTGATATATGGTCCAGTAATTTTTTGGTATTCAACATTTAATTAATTCTTAAGTCCTCTCTGATTTTGTTCTCAACATATCTCATATCCTTCTCTTCGCTTTCATCCCTTACTTAGTTCGTCTCAGATTCACCTTCTGTCTTCTCTCATCAGAGCTACTGTCATGCTGCTGATACTGCGCCTCCTTCTACTTGCATGTAAAGGAGGTTTTAAACACAAATTTGAATTTATCACTCCTCTACTTAAATCAGCAATGTCTCCATCCTTCCGTCTGCCTTGACCTTCTTGATGTGCTTTCTGTCTGGCTTTCCAACTTTCTCTTTGGTCCTTTCTCCATAAGACCTTGAGCTTGAATGGACTGAACTCTCATTCCTTGTCTTTGCCTCTGATGTTTTTCTTGCATTGAATTTCCTTCCATCCTTCTTCACCCATTGAACTTCCTCTTCTTCTATAAATTCCAACTTAAGAGTCTTTCTTAACAAAGCCTTCTTTTACCTACCCAAGGCAAGTGAAATACTTTCCACCTTTATCACTTTACCAAGAAGATCTCTATTTTTTTCACACGAGACACTATTTAGAAACCTCTCTAATTAGAAAATTTCACCTTTATAACTTTCATAGAAAAAACTAAGCAACATGCTAGAGCCACTTTTGTCTCCAACAGATTTCTGGGTCACATGTGGATGGATTTTTTAATAATTCAGCATTTTGTAAAGTGAGGCATATTTGCTAGTTTTTAGAGCCTTGGCTCTTTTGGTCCTTATTCTGAGGTGCTTTATTAACACCATCATTAAATTAGTTTTAAAGCTGTAATGAGAGTTGTATATATTGTATAATTGAGATAAAAATGCAACTTAAAATTACATAAATGTACCTATTGGCTGTATGTATGATGTTCTGTGTAGACTTATAAATAGGCTTTTATAATCAAAACTAATCACAAATAGTAGAGCTTCTATACTGTTATTTGTTTACATGTTTTGTTTTTTACTCAACTGGTCTTTCAATTCCTTGAGACAGGGACGGTGTCTTATTCATATTTAATTCCTCGCACTTTTCACACAGTGCCTGGCATATGGGTGATATTCAGCATATATATGTTAAGTTAATATTATTTATAAAGATAAAAGAGACATTTATGATCACATTATAGCTTGGAACGTGTGTGTGTGTGTGGTGTATAATGCTGAAGGACTATAGATTAGATACATGAATATATTGTCAGGATTATAAATCTCAATGTATAAGTAAGAACTATGGCAGTTTAAAGTGGTTGGATTTCTGTTTTGGATGTTTCAAGGTGTGTATGTAAGATGTGTTCAGGAAGAGAAAACATTTATTTGAGAAGGCAGGAATCTTATGTGTTGCAACCATACACACAAGCATCTTGTAAGCAAGCAGTCCATAGGCATCTTTAGAAACTAGAGTAGGTACAGTCTGTCTTCCCTTTTCTCCTATGTTCCTGATTCCTTCAACTATCATCCTTCTCATCTTAAAATATCATGTTCAAATTTACTGACCCAAAATCAAAGGTAGCATTTATTAAGTATAATGAATGCTTGCTTTGAGCTATATTATGTCCTTACTTAACAGTTATAAATATAAAATCTTCTACCACAATTCAACAACTTGATGGATGACAGGCGTGCTGTACTCTTGCTACTTTGGCATCTCCCATGATGTTTGATATAGGGTCCTACACATAATCATCATTGTTATATGATATCTTTTTTAATGATCTTAGGAAAGAGAAGTTATTCTGCATGAGCTTTAAAAAAACTTTTAAAACCCCATCATTTGCCAGGAATTTTCTGTAGCCCCCTAAATTTGCTTAAACTCATCACTATTTTGATTGTCATAATAGCCACTAGTAATTAACATCAGTATTAAAGTATTTATAGAACTTTTAAAGGACTTTTTGTAGCAAGAAAGATTTTCTTTCTTCAGTGCATTTCTGTGTAACCATTGTGTGCATTCTTTGTAACCTGGTCTATAACCATTACCAAGTTGGGAAGGGGAAGTAGGAAGGAAAGTCCATTGCTGGGTTTCCATAGGTGAAAATAGATCTGACTATCCAAATATTCTGCAGTGAGATTACTGAGTTCTTACCAATGAGAAGAAAATGAATGTACTCTGGAGACAATGATGCTGTTGATATTAAGAATCTACCCATTAATTGGTTTATTTTATAAAGTGATATGTGATATGGTAGTTGTTATGACTGTCCTACTTTCATATCTCACTTGCTGAAATATCTCCATTTCTCTAGTTTAAGGATCTCTAAACTTGTTCTCACAAGGGTCACATAGAAAATATTTTGTGTTTTGAAGGGCATAAGGTCTCTGTTGCAACTGCTCAACTGTAGTGCAAAAACAGCCATAGACAATATGTAAATAAGTGGGCATGGTGGGGTTCTCATAAACTCTATCAACTCTAGTTGATAGACTTATTTATTTCCATTATGAAATAATAGTACAAGAGCCCTCTATTGCACATAATTTCTTCCGTAGTGTTTCTAGAAATCAAGGCACCCAAACCACATTTCTTTTTATAATGATAATAATTAAAATAATTAAATGATCTATACATATATGTATATTTAATTTGTTATATACTATTGTTAGGGCAAGGTGACCTCCTTATTGTTTTTCAAACAATCCAATCACAGTCTTGCCTGCCTTTGTACTTGCTAATGCTGTATCTGGAACGTGACTCTACCTCTTCTCTAGATTTATGTTCAGATGCCGCTTTCTCAATGAAATCTTCCTTCATCACCCTATGTACATAGCAGCCCAGCTCTACACACATATCTGCTCCCTACCTGGCTTTCCCTCGCTTCAACCCTCTGTCTGTACCCCCAGGCACTTAGTACCATCTACCATACTATATATTTTTAATTTAGTTATTCATTTTCTGTCCCCATATTCTTGACTATTAGTTATGAGGACTGAGTCTTGTCTGTTTTCATCACTGCTTTATCCCTAGTGATTAAAATAGTTCCTGGACATAATAGTCAACAAAATTCTTTAAAAAGTGAATGAATGAATGAATGAATGAATGTAAGGCCTATGTATACAATTAATCAAAGCTTTGATATTTTCAAAATAAGTAATTACACATTTAAATTTTAGGAGCAGAAAACAGTCCTTTCTTCAAAGCATGCAGTACCTGAAGCAATAGAAGGCTTTCTCTGCAATTTCCTGATCAAAATGGGAATGACTAGAACTCTTGATTGCTTTCAGTCTGAATGGTAAACAATTAAGTAAATAGTTCTCTAGAAATACTAACATTATTTAACATGTGTACTTTTAATCATCTTAAAAGACTTTGAGTGACTCTGCTTATGTAAAATGAATGAACTGGATAGAAACCTTTTTCATCACCACCACTGAAACCACAACACACATACACACACAATCAGGATATCAATTTCAAAGAAATTTTTAATATCTTTTCTAGATATATAAATTTAGGTGATTTTCAAGAATCAATAAAATGGAATGTCTCCTGTAGTTATATAATATGAAGCTATTTGATAAAATATTTTTTAAATGTCTTTTGAATAATTATAAGGGTATAATTTCCTGTATTAAGACATCCTACTAACAGTACTACTTTGCTTGTTTTACTTAGAGTGTAATGGCCTGCTTTTCTCTACTCACACAACTAATTTTTTTTCTACAAATATCCCTTCATTTAGAAGTAAGTGGAATTACATTGTCAAATGATACCTTTTTCTTGTTATAATTGAAAATTTAATAACTTATTGGTTATGAAAATCAGCAGGCATACTGTCTTTATTCCTTTGCCGTAGTGGTAATGTCACCAGACACATTTTCAGAGTCCTAACATTTGTTAACAAAATATTATTAAATAATTGGATAATAAAATGTTTGATTTTTAAAAGCCATTGATATTATAGAAAGAAGGAATAGTATGGTATATAAAGTTGTTTATAGTGTTTTGGAGTTCAATCCTAATTTTAAATATAGGTGCAATTTGTAATTTCTACTAATCCAACTTCGATTTAATTTTTATATTCTGCTTTTTTTCGTTCTCATCTACAGAGACCATGCACATAAAAGAAATCAGTTTCATTATTTTAAATTGCATGTCTAATGTTAATAAATTTAACTAGGAGAACCATTTTTGATTAATACAGTTTAGGAAAAAGAACAAGTTTGATGGTACAAAAATAATACTCTTCCTATTAAATCTGGAAGTTGTGTGAATGATTTTTATAAAAATGTCCCTAAGAAATAATTACAAATGTATTAGAAAATACATTTTTATAAAAGTAGGTAGATGGTTAATTTGCAGTACTAATGAAAGATTAATGTGGTTCAGTTTCCTTTTTTTCTTCTAAAGATATGTGTTAGGACATGTAGTGCTTACATGTTTGGCCAGTCCAAAGTATGAAATGATCCCCTTGGAGAAATCTGGAACCAAGTATGCTCTTAATTAGGTGCTTGTTGCCATATTATCCTTTTAGATTTAGCAATTTGAATTGAGATGAAATTTCAGAAAAGTACAATAGTATTAAGATTTATAGAACCCCTAAGTAAGCATTACATTTAGCATAATATTGTAATCATAATGTAAAATTTGTATAAATAACTCTTCATTATATGGGCTTAGTAATACTGTGGTTCAAATTATTTTATTCTTATCCCTAGCCACCAGTTTGTAATGAGATTACAAATTATTTGTAATGAGATTATACTGTATTGGATATTTTTATTTCAAATGAAACATTTTTTACTTTGATCAGAAACTTTTACTTATTATGCATAGTAAGACTGTAGGAATATTATATATATATATATATATATAATTATTATTTTTTGCGGTACGCGGGTCTCTCGCTGCTGTGGCCTCTCCCGTTGAGAAGCACAGGCTCCGGACGCGCAGGCTCAGTGCCCATGGCTCACAGGGCACAGCCGCTCCGCAGCATGTGGGATCTTCCCGGACCGGGGCACAAACCTGTGTCCCCTGCATCGGCAGGCGGACTCCCAACCACTGCTCCACCAGGGAAGCCCATATATATTATTTTTATAATTTCTTATTATAGAGAAAAACACTTGTAATATATCATTGCTGTAAATTCATTTAATTTTACAAAAGGGGTGAAGCAAGATTTCTCTATTGTTGGTTTGTAAAAAAAAAAAAAAAAAAAAACCCACAAAAATCAAACAAAAACTCCCCAAACCAAAAAACCTGGGCAGTGAAATTTGGCTTATGTTCCTTCATTCCTCAAACAGTAATTGCAGTAAATCCATTGAATCTGGGGTCAGCAAACTAAGGCTCTGGGGCCAAATCTAACATGCCTCCTGTTTTGGTAAATAAAATTTTATTGGAACACAGCCATGACCTATCTTTTAGGTATTGTCTATTTGTCTCTGGTTGCTTTCACACTATTACATTTAATGGCAAAGTTAATTAGTCACAGCGGAGACCATATGGCCCAGAAACTTCTTTTTTTCCTCCAAATTCTAAATATTTATTTTCTGACTGTTAACACACACAGAAAAGATTATACATATTCATAATATTCTATGAACCACACAAAGTCTGCACTGTGGGTTTAGTCAATGATATTTTTATGACCCTTTAGAAGTGCTCTGTGGACAATTATAATTTCCCTGGGGGCAAAATTAAAGAAAGGGTTAAAATGGAGAAATTATGGTAGTGCATTTTATGTACCCTTACGGAGCATATGTCAACCATCTCCTTTCCTCCACTGGATTGTTTTACTGGCTGTTAACAAGGTCAGGACTCACGCAAAATGTACATTCTTGCTCTTTGCCTCTTCCTCTTATTATCTCTAACTCACTCCAACTCTTCTTCCCTTTACAGCCAAGTGTTTTGAAAACAGGCTATTTTCTTTCTTTCTTTACTCTTTTACATCTTTGGTTCTCTCCAGTTTGGCTTCTGTTCCTACCATTCTACTGAAGGTTGGATGGTAGTAAAAATGCCATCAAATGTAATAGTGCAATTATTTATAGTATTTAATTGCTATTTTAATTTTTTCTTAATTTTAGAAGAAATTATAAATTAGTATAATATTCCTTTAATTTTCACAAAAGGGTAAATATTGCTGCTTTTAGCCAATAAAATTTGGCATAATACATAATTACTCAAACGTGGGTAGTGCAGTTAAAACTTTTACCACATATTAATTTATTTACATAGCATTTATTTTAGTGGCCTTCATATCACTTTTTTTTCTTCTTGAAATAATTTCTTTAGTGATTTTTTTTCTGCATTAAATAAAGCAAGTTGCTGAAAACCAATTTTATGGTCAGAAAAACTTTATGGTCCAATACTTCAGTCAATCCTTATGTCTTCTCTTTTGAGATAAGTATAAATCACATTCCAAATACGTATAGAAAAGTGATTTTATGCTTAAATGATTATCTATTTGTTGTTTTGTAAGTTGTGGCAAATATCATTTAATATTGATTCAATTATCTTAAACTTTTGGATATTTTACAGGGGTTTTCTTGCTATTTTTTGGTATCAGATAAGATATATATATAGCACAAAACATATGACTACTAATGTGTAATATATTAATAAAGTTAAGATTGAAAATATGAAAATGCTGAAAATTAAACATTTTTAAACTAATATTTAGCTCATCTATAGCAAGCTTTGTAGGGATTTCTTTGTTAATAACTATATTACTTGAAATGTTTTTCTATGCTCTGGTTGTTTTTTATTTAACTTTATTAATTGCTACATATAATGATTAAAATTGTACTTATTTACAGATTTATAAATGATTTTCTGATGTTCCTTCTTATTTCACTGAGAAAATGGAAGTTCCACAACTCTTGCTTCCTCTCTACCAACCTGCCACCTCTGTTGTCAGCATTCTCCCTCTCTCCTGTCACAGCGGCTGAGCCATATATGCTGTCAGCTGAGGCCAGCTCTCCTCTACTGGATCCCAGCTCCTCTCACCTACTCAAGCACATGATTCCTGCAATTGTCCCCTCTCTTTCCTGCACTGTAAACTTTTTCCTTCTCTGCTGAATCACTCACATAAGCATAGAGATGTACAATAATATGTCATATATTAAAAAATAGAAGAAAACAAAACACCCTGGACTCCACTTTCTCTTCTAGGTTCATCTTGATTTCCTGGGCTCTGCTTTATAGCTTATCTCCTTGAAAGAGTTTGTTGCTACTTCCTCATTTCCTACTCTCTCATTCCTACTCTAGTTCCACTTTCACCTCCATGACTCTACTGAAACTTTTTTCAGTGACTTCACATTTCCAAATTCAGTGATTGATCCTCAGTACTCCTATTCAGTCTCCTTGCGTCATTTGTCACTGTTACCCATTTCTTATTTCTTGCAACACTTTCTTCACTTGGTCCCTGACCCAAGCACTCTTCTATTCTTTCACTACTTCACTGCCCCCTCTCTTTCTTAGTCTCTATTTGGTAGTATTTCCTTCTCTTCCCAATCTTGAAATAGTCCTAGGTCTTCCTTACTTCTCTCTTTACATTCACTTCCTAACTGGCCTCATCCAATCTTGTGACTTGAAAGTGTATCTATTTACTGATCATTCCCAGATTTAAACTGCATGTCCTAACTTTTCCCCTGAACTCTGGACATGTACTTATAATGTTCATTTTCATTTAATTGCCCAGCAGACATATTGCATTTAACATGGATAGAAACAGTTCCTTGATTTCTCTAAGCACCCAGTTCCTACTGCATTTGTCCCCACTAAATGTCTGTCTGTTGCTCAGCCAAAATCCTTGGAGTCATCCTTGACTTTTCTTTTTTAACCAACACCTGACATCTGATCTGTAGGAGAATCCTGTTGGCTCCATCTTTACAGCATGTCCAGAAGATACCCATTCCTCACAATCCTTACTGTTACCAACTTTGTCTAAGCCACCAATCTTTCTCTCCTGAACTATTGCAGCAGCCTCCTAACTAGACTCTCTGGTTCTACTCTTGCTTCTCTAGAGTCAGTTTCTTCAAACAGATTCCAGACTAATCCTTTTAAAACATAAATCTGATCAGTGTCACTTGTCTCTTAAAACATTCTGATGGCTCTGATTCAGAGTAAAATTCCTCTTTCTGGCTCCCTGCTGTCTTCCTGACTTATCTTTCACCATTCTCTTTCCTACTCACTTAGTTGGCTCCGTTTCCAAATACTACAGATGTACTGGCTTTTTGCTTTGTATTGTATTTGTCAAACGCCTCCTTGTCTCAGGGCCTTTACATTTACTTTTCTATCAGCCAAGAATGCTCCTCTCCCACATATCCACATGGCTTAGTCTCTCATTCCCTTCAGTTTCCTGCTGAAATATCACTTTGTCAGTTATACTTTCTCTGGCCACCTTATAAAAAATCTCACAAACACCCCCCATCATTCTCTACTTCAGTCTCTCTGTTTCTCTTATCTTGCTTTATTTTACTTCATAGAATATATCACCATCCACATTAGAACGGAAACTCCATTAGTCCATTAGGACTTGGACATTTTTGTTAATTTCACCAGTGTCTGGACTAGTGCCTGGAGCATAGGAGATGTTCAGTTATATTTTATGCACCATGATGATATTAGTACTTAGCAATTCATGAATATTTTATTTTAAAAATATCTTATGAATATTGACATTTTAAATTTAAAAAATTATATTGCAACTTATCACTATAAACATTCCCTAAGACTTAACTTTTTGGGCTTCCCTGGTGACGCAGTAGTTAAGAGTCCGCCTGCCAATGCAGGAGACATGGGTTCGAGCCCTGGTCCAGGAAGATCCCACATGCCGTGGAGCAGCTAAGCCCAAGCACCGCAACTGCTGAAGCCCACGTGCCTAAAGCCTGTGTTCCGCAACAAGAGCAGCAAGAGAAGCCACCACAATGAGAAGCCTGCGCACCGCAACGAAGAGTAGCCCCCGCTTGTCACAACTAGAGAAAGCCCATGTGCAGCAACGAAGACCTGATGCAGCCAAAAATAAATAAATAAATAAATAAATAAATTTTTAAAAAGTGATTTAACTTTTTGAAATGTACATAAATTAAGCCAATGTAGTAGAAAGAAACAATATAAAGTCTTTTGTTTGATTTTATCCTAGGTATGAGTTAATACAGAAGGGAGTAACTGAACTTAGAGGTGGCGGGCATGTTCCAGATGTCTACACTCAGAATATGCTTTTAGAAAATGAGAACAAAATTTTGAAGAAAGAATTGAAGCACTATAAACAAGCAGCTGAGTATGTTATTTTTTAATGACTTTTTAAAAAAATTTTGGACTAAATAAAAGTAAGGCATTGAATTAGCTAATAGGTGGATGGTGGTTAATGCAACAGAGCTTTAACTCTGGAGAAATGAATTATATGTCAATTCTAGTTGGAAAGGATATGAAAGGCTTCACCAGCAAATTAATTGAACAGATGAGCAGAACACTCACAACTGTAATTCACCAACAAGAGTGGAATGCAGGGGGTTGTGCAGGAGGTTGTTAATTTGTTATGTAACATTCGCTTCCTTATGTATTTTGATAGTCTTATCATTGCTTGTGGAAATCTTCCCCTATGAGGGTAAGCTAATTTCTGAGATAATAATAAAATTATAGAAAGCTAGAGGAAGGAAGGAGCTAGTGTATTCTTAGTAGAGCAATTTCAGTATTTGAAAGTTGCCCAAAGAGAGCTGTTATTTTGTAATTTCATAGCATGAATTTATGCACAGAAGAGAAACGTAACAGAAACCAAATATCTCTGCATGTTTCTTTCTTTCTAAATTAATGAAAGACATGCAAGTTTTGGCAAACAAACTTAGATAAATGTGCAGTGTTATTCTGGCAAAGACAAATATGTGAATGTGTTGACTTGGGGTAAACATACTCATCTAAGACAATGTTAGGTGAAAAATTAATGCTTAGATATGGAGTAGACAGTTTATCCTTTGTTCATTAATTTTTATTAAACATTTGAAGAGGGGCTTTCTCTGTTAAAGAATCATATTAAAACAAAAATTAGATAAACAGAACTACCATAAAGGAACATAATATTTCTAAGATCTTTGTAAAATACTTTAATGTAAAGAAACGAGACTGTATTGCCAGGTGAAGGAAACATTTAAAATAAGCTTCTGCTTTTGAAAGGTGGTGGTAAATAAATGATAATTTGTACGATTGTTTTATTCAGTTATTATGTGCACTTACAGAAATGTATTTTGCAAGTTATACAACTTTCATATTATCTATGGATGTACTATTTGGGATTTTACATTTTAGTTGGAAGTGTATGATGATCCACAGAATGATAGTACTAGAACCAGCATCCTCTCTATCCTCAGTTCCATTTCTCAGAAGTGGTTTGCACTCTTGGCCCTGACACTCACACCTAATGGATGCACTGGGAATTTGACACAGCAAATTTTTCAGAGTGCTGCCTGGCATACTGTTTCAGTTCCTGATCTCCTTTGAATTATTGCCTAAGTTTGCTAATTTCTTTTGAATAGGTAGAGCCTCTTTCTGCAATGAGTTTTGCCCCAGTGCTATGAAATGATCATTTTTATTACTGGTTGTTTATTGAATATTATATTTAATAACTATAATCAAAACCATATAAACTGTTGCCCATGCAAATTATTGACTTAATGTTAAAAGAAACCATGATTCAAACAGATATCACTCAAATGAAATCTGTCTCTTGTTCATGTTTACTAAAATATCAGATTACTAAATGTTTCTAAAATTTACTGTATTTACTAAAATATAGTTTTAGGTTCAGTGGGCTTATGGTATCTCTCAAATCTATCTTACTTGATATAATTAAACTTATACAAATTAGAAAAGGAAAATATTTATTTAGCTTAGTCTACCTGACATGGAAAATTTGAAGGAAAGCTGCTTGACCCTTAGTAAATGCCTAATATTTATATCATTGAATGAATATTAAGCAAATTGTGCTTCACAGCCCCTTTTGATGAAGGATGTCCCTGTGGCCTAATTTTGTTGGATACATTCCCAGAAAATGGAGACTGAAATTTTGTAAAGAATTCCCAAAACTACCTCTGTCATGCTACAAGTTTGCCCCAAATTGTAAGTTTCATCACACAGGTTTTTCAATTTGACTTGTGAGGATATTTTCCCAGTAGGAAATAGTGATAAACATGGGATTCCCTTTAAGGAATTTACATTAAAGTTTTCTTTTTTAGAATTAAGGCTGTTTCTTAAAGCAAGATAAATGTAGATGTCAAATACTTTTCTAATAATAATTAATATTTAATACATAAAAAGTCAGGTTACAGATGTGTTATATATTATCTTGATTAAACTGGTAGCATTTAGTGATGAATCTAGAAAAATCAGTGAAATCATATAGCTGTAAGCTTATTATTTATCTAGGGAAGATTTGCCATGGAAAGAGTACTGAACTTAAAGTTCAAATACCTAGCTTCCAATATTCTGCTACTTATTAACTCAGTTTCCTTATTGTTATACTGGGAATAATTATGCATAATATTATTAACTCCTAGGGAGTGATGTGATAACTAAATAAGACAATCTATATTAAAGGGCTGTGTAAATCACAAAGTGCTGTGAAAATGTCAGCTATTATTATCAATATCTCTAAAGGCTGTCATCCCTAGATTTAAAAAATATTATCATATCATTATTTTTGAAATTCAGCAATGATGAAGCATGAAGGAAGAGATGAAAAGGGAAAATATTTCACTGTAAAATATCTGAATTGCTATAATTAAAAAAGAAATTGTCTTTTTCTCTGCTGTAAGCAATGCCAATTTTAGAACAGGGGCTTTCCCTATATTTGCTGCAAATGTAGATTATCTTCTAAAATATAAAATTTGGTGTATGGTGTATCTGTATGTTTCGTGATGGGTGTTAACCAGACTTGTGATTATTTTGCAATATATACAAACATACATCCAATCAGTATGTTGTACACCTGAAACTGATATAATGTTACATGTCAATTAAATCTTGATAAAAAAAGGTTTGGGAAAAAACTGCTTGGAAAATTTCTTTATGGATGTTTTTAAGGGAAAAACAGCATTATTAAAAAGATTTATAGTTACATTAAATATATTATTGGATTGGCCAAAAAGTTCGTTCAGAACATCTTACGGCAAAACCTGAGTGAAGTTTTTGACCAACCCAATACATACTAGATACTGGAGAGGAATGATATAAGTAGGAGTTTGACATTCTTTCTTGGAAGATTAGAATATAATTGTACTTTTATATTGAAATGTAGACCAATTGTTATTTTAACCAAAAATATTTAACTTCTTAACTTTTTAATTCTAAACAAATACCAAGCATATAGAAAGTAAACAAAATAAAATAATGAACTTCTTGGGCCTGTCAGCAGTTTCAACACTTATCAACTTTCTGCCATTCTTATTTCTATCTCCACCCACACCCTACCCCACATCCTGTTTATTATATTATTTTTTACAGTTCTTTTTTTGTGTTATAATTTACATAAATTGAAATGTACAAGTCTTAGCTACATAATTTTGACAAACAGATGAAGTCTTGTAACCTCCATACTCATGTTACTATAGAACATTTCTGTCTATCCAGGAATTTCTTTTGTGTCCCTTCTCAGTCATTCCCTCCCCTGGCAATCACTGTTCTGATTTTATTTTCCACCTTAGATTAGCTTTGCCAGTTTGAGAACTTCATAACTGGAATCACAGAATATTCATTTCTTTGTCTTTGACATCTTCTACTCAGCTAAAGTCTGTAAAATTTATATGTGATTTTTGCATTTATCAATAATTTGTTCCCTTTTATTGCTAAGTAGTACTCTATTGTGTAGTGTATACCACAATTTGTTTACCCTTTTTCTATTGAGTTGTTTCCAACTGTGGTTATTATGAATGATACTGCTATGAACATTTGTGTACAAGTCTTTTTGTGAGGATGTGCTTTCTTTCTTTTGGATAAAAACTTAGGAATGGAATTTATGAAGGGTAGATGTATAAGAAACTGCTAGTCCATTTCCTGACATTCAAGTTGAGTCATTTTACATTCTCAAGAGCAATATATGAGAGTTCCAATTGCTCCATATTGTCACCAACATTGAGTTTTGTTAGTCTTTTAAATTTCAGCCATTTTAGTGGTTGTATGGTAGCAGCTTCTTGTAGTTTTGATATACATTTTCCTGATAACTAATGATATTGTGAACATTTTGTGTGTGTGTGTGTGTGTGTGTGCTTATTGGCCATTCATTGATCCTGCTTTCTGTGTAAATCTTTTGCCTGTTTTTGGTTGAATTAGTTGTCTTATTTTTGAGTTGTAAGAGTTCTTTATATATTCTGGTTACAAATCCTTTGTCAGAATATTGTGAATATTTTCTTCCAGTTTATGGCTTGATTCTTCAATTTCTTAATGGTGTCTTTGGGTGAGCAGAAGTTTTAAATTTTGAGGAAGTCTAATTTATCTTTTTTATAATATTGCTTTTGATATTTTGGCTAAGATACCATTGCCTACTCCCAGGTCACAGAAATATTGTTTTCTTCTAAAACCTTTACAGATTTAGAATTTGTATTTCAGCCTGTGATCTAGCTTTAATTTTTGTATACTGTGTGAGGTATGAGCTAGAGGTTAATTTTCTTTCCGGTAGGAGTAGTCAATTGTTCCAGCACCATTCTTAAAAAGATTTTTCATCCTTCATTGAATTTCTTTGGCATTTTTGTTGAAAATCAATTGACCCTGTAATTGTGGGTCTATTTCTATACTCTATACTGTTCCATTAACCTATTTGTTATCCTTATACTAATACCACACTCTTGATTACTGTAAGTTTAATTAAGTCCTTAAAGTCAGATAGAGTTAGTCTTCCAGCTTTGTTTTTCTTTTTTAAGGACAGTTTGACTATCCTAGGTCCTTTGCATTTTCATACAAATTTAAGAATCACTTTGTCAATTTCTATAGAAAGACAGGGGTGGGATTAGAATTAAGATTGAGTTGAATCTATAACAATTTGGGAAGAATGTGTGTGTGTGTACACATATATTTATACATACATACTTTTTTGGGGGGAAGGATTGATATATTTATCTTTAAAGATAACCTAATAAGGTTATTAGATGAAGGAGCTCGAAATTTGTGCCCTTTACATCTAATTATCTAATGTATACATTTTTGTTACATTGTGAACTACATATAATAGGGTTGTGCTCAGTATATCCCCAGGGCCTGTAGCTGTGCCTGGCAAATAGGAGGGACTTATGTGAA